GCAGTTTGCCTGCGCCCGGCAACCCGAGCTCGCCATGATGCACTGCTCGTACTGGGACCACGACAGCAAGCCCGGCGCGCTGCACTCGCGCCTCGATCTCTGAGACCCCGGCGCAGCCCTGCGGGGCCGGAGGCGAGGACGCACGCGGGGGACGCGCGACTCCGGACTGAGCGGTCTCCCTGGCGAGGGAAGGCGCGCCCACCGCCTCTGCTCCTTCGAGCGCTCCCCGGCTCCCTTCTCTCCTTTTTTTGTCTCTCCCACTTTACCCTCCTCTCCGCCCTCCGTGCCCCTCCGGGCCTGCAGGTCGCCTACTCGCGGCCTTCGGCAGGTCTTCCGGAGACCTCTTCTGCCCCAAACCAAAATCCGCCCCAGAGAGCAAGCGTCTGGCACCTCGGGGCGGCCGGGCGTGGGGGGCCCTCGGCCACTAATCGGTGCGCTCGCGCTCGGCTCTCTGGGCCCGGCTGCTGCGCAATTCTTGGCTGCGTCGACGAGGCATCGCGACCAGAGCCTCCGGAGAACAGGAAGCGTAAATGTTTGCTCCGGAGACCTTCTTGGAGCTGTGGTGAGGCCTTTTGCGAGGGAACCGCTGAACGAGCGGTGGGTGAGCGCGAGCCGGAGCCGGGCCGCCTCGCTCCCGGCCTGCACCCGGTATCGGATTTACACCACATTCCGCCTGGGAGGGAGACACTTTCCTGCGCCCCCAACCAGAGCTCCAGGCCCCACGAAGGTTTTGCTATTAAAAAAGAAAAGAAAAACACAGACAGACATGAGACTTAAAAAAAAAATCTTAAAAGTATTTTTTAAGAAAAACGAAAATCACCAGGAAAGCCTGCAGCAGCATACTGTGGCCTTGGAGTTTGCTAAAATCAAACATGGAAAATGAAACGTGTTACAATGACCGCTTCTCTTCGGCGAGATTGGAAGTAGAATTCCTGTTGGACCTTCAAAAACCCTGTGTTCAGAGAGGTAGGAGAAAACATTCAGGGGGAAAATGATTTCTTCTGCGAATTGCTCCCCAGCTAAAACAAAACCAATTTCTCCCGCTCTTAGGACGCAAGCCCGGTGAGGCCAGAGCCCCCAGCCTGCCAGGGTGGTTCGTCCTTCTGCCGTATTATTTTTATTATTTTGTTTTGGGATGTTGGGGGGGGTTGTTTGGGTTTTCTGTTTTTGTTTTGCTTTTGCATTTTCGAATGTCTTGTTTCTCCCATCTCGGGAAGAAGGGGACTGTGAATCCCAGAAGAGATCGGCCTACAAATAAGCTTGTCGGCCGGAGTACCCCAAAGCTAGACTTGATTGTTCTGTAGTGTGTTGTTTAGGGGACCAAATTTTCTAGGGGGGTAAACCCCAACAACTAGAGCACTTTTGTTGTATTTTTTTTTTAAAAACCTTGTTAATTCCCGAATAAATTTCAGTTCTTTCTTTTTAACTTGGCCTTATGTTCTCTTCACTGTTAGTTCTCTGTCTGGCTTGCTCCTGTTTTCAAAGTGGTGTGAACAGGGACTGATGACAGGAGAGCAGGAGGTTTCTGGTTGACTGCAGGTTTCTGGTTGTTTTGCCAGGGGGCTGGGGATTTTTTCACCGCTGGTCCCCTGCACTGTCTTCAGGGGAGCATTCCTCCTCCCTGGTCCGTGCACAAGGTAAGGCTCCAGATAGAGTTTGCTCTAAGTCTGCACGCATGCTACTTTCTTGCCTCTCAGACGAGGTGTGTGGGCTCTGTTTTCATTATATTGTTTATTGAACTTTAAAATTTATTGCGTTTTATGTTTGGGGTTGTTGGGTTGTTTTATTTAACTCATTCGTTGTTGAACATTGTCCTCCTTTCCTTTAAATTTTTTGCATCACAAAATTGTGTTTGTTCTGGTTAGGTTAATCTTCATGCTGAGAAGTTATATACACAGCAAATGTCTATATAAATGCAAGGCTTGGATGCTTGCTGTATTCTTTTTGATAGTCTGAATTCATTTCCCTTTTAAAATAGATAAATAAGAATTGTTAAGATAAAGGTTAGAAGTTTGAGAGTCTCAGAGAGGCAACACAGGATGTGGCTGTAGAGACCTAATCCTTCTCTCACCTCCTCTGGCTCTTCTGTTCCTGAGACATTTCCAATAGCGAGTAACAAATTGAAAACCCTGCTTCCATGCAAACCTTCAGGCTATTTGCCCCAAATCCATCCTGAGCTTAGAGGAGAATTAGACCTTTATCGGTCTTGAATTCTTGGATGGGATGACAGGGACCAACCAGCACTTGCCCTGACCAGATGCACTTGGGGATAAATCTCACAGCTTTCCATGCCTTTTCTCCAGTGCTCTGCTGGGAAAACCTGGAGGACAGTAGTTTGTGCTTCTACACATAGACTGAGAGGGACTGTCACTTGGATGTCACACCAAGAAGGCAGATACAGGCCTCGCACTTGAGCCGCTATGTCTGTGGAGTTAACAACGGTAGGGAAAGTGGCTACAACTAAGTACCCCGCCTCCCCCAAGCTTCACCTGTGGGACCGAAAGACCAAGGGCAAAATCCCCAGGTTCTTAGGGCTCATCACTGCAGAATAGGACAGGAGTCTGCTAAAGAGTGAGAGTGTAGTTTGAAGGAGAGTGGCATGGAGCAAGCTGGCGAGGGAGGCAAAGATGCATGAGGGCAGGGCAGGTTTGGGGAGGAGGTCTGGTCAGGCTTGGAGAGGAGGGCAGGTCAGGCTTCGAGAGGAGGGCAGGGCCGGCTGTGTGCTGCTGAGATTTGCAGAATAGAAAGGCCCATGCCGTTAAATTTTCTGCGTGCGTTTTCTGTGATGTGACCAGGATCCTGCAGGCAGTTGGGCAGATGGTGCCTCTGCAGATGTGTGTGTGGTATCAGTTGTGTGTTGGTGACAGGCGGGAGGTGTGTGTATCTGTCATTCCCCAGTGGATGGGGCATACATGGGGCATGGCAGCCATCACATTCTAACCCACACTTAGAATCTTCCTAGGGCACATGGTGTGGGTATGCCCTTATTATGGTGTGGGCCCGTTACGGAGCTGGTGACAGTAATAGAGAATACGGGTAAAGCTTTTTCTCTTCAGCCTGCTGGTAAGAGCCTTTCTGCACCAAAGCTGTCAGGACCTCTGTGTGACTGAGCCTCCTGAAAAGAAAACAAGGGGATTTTACTAGGACAGAGCCTGGTGCACAGACAGCAGCTCACCAGCAAAGAGGTGAGGGATTTCCAGAACAGGGGAAAAGACAAAAGAGACGTTCTCGAAATCCACAGGAGAGATGTTTCTTTCCCATTCCAGCCTCAGAGCGTCTGTCCTCAAGGCTGTGTGATTGGTCACCCCCCACCCCACCCCTCCTGCTGAGAATTTGGAGCAAAGGCAGACTGTCTTCCTTTTTCTTCTCTCTTGCCTTTGAAAATGCAAAGGCAAGCTAGGATTTAAAGAATTCCCTCCATAAAGGTGTGTCCCTGATGTAGCAATTATGCTGTAGCATATACATACCAACTGCTCTCCTCTGCCCACGTGGGCAGACGCCTGTTATGTTTGCCGGCATGTGTTGTAAATACAAAGTAAATAGAGGTTGAGATGAATAGCCTGCCGATTTCTGGATGTCCCGGGAATTGAGTTGCTACACATGGTATTGATGTTGAGGGTTTGTGCGTGCATGTGAGCTCTGTAAACATCCCTGCGCTGCTGACATCACAGACTCCCTCCTGGGCTCCCCCCTCCTGTACACACAAATTCTTAAAGTCACCTCTGCTTTCTTAAAGCAGCCCAGTCAGAACACCCAAGTTCAGGGGGGTAGAGAGGTAATACTTGTCTAAAGAGGGTCACTGGGAGAGGTCCTTGTTAGGACAGTTGGTGTCCCAACTACTTTAGGGACCTATGGTCTTCTCTGGAATGACTCTAGAACCCACTCTGTAGGGTGACCTGGTGGTTTCCTCCTGTAGTCATTCAGGTGTCTGATGCCACCGTCCCCTATTTGGGTGGGCATGCAGCCCAGGACCCTACACCAAGCTTAACTGGCCTCAGAGTCACCCGTGGCAGTAGGAGGAAGTTAGGAGCTGTCTGAGACTTCACACAGCAGGGCCAGCAAAAAATGGGCCAAGAAACTGAGCCCTGGTCAAGACAGTCTGCTTTCAAATGAGGTTTTCCCTTAACAGAGATCTCGAGACCAACCCAGCGTCTGAACACCTAGGAAGGAGTTCAGCTGCAGTCCCTGCAGACAGGGACAGGACGTGACCCAGTGGGAGTGGTATGCCCATACCGTGGTGACTCAAGCCAGGAGTGAGTCGGAGCAAACACCAGGCCCCCAGCTCCACCTCAGAGACAATGGGGAGTCAAGGATTCTTGAAGTTAAGCAGTTTGGGTAGCATTCTGGAGAGCTCTGTGCTGTCAGGTTCCTGGAACCCAAAATGTCCCCAGCATATTTAAGGAAACTCAGATCTTAAAATGGGCATGGACCAGCCAGAGGTTACTCAACTGTGTATGGGAAGATGGCCTCAGACATATAAAACCCCAGACCTGAAAATCTGAGGAGGACAGCTTGGAATCAAAGCTCTCTATACTTACTCTCTCACCGGGAGGAAGATGAAGAGCCCACCTGGGCCTCCCCTGCATGCAGATGGCACTGCAGAAAAGGAGGTATTAGGGCAGTTTGTCTACAGATTCAGCTGTGGATGGTTTCAATTTTGTTCTGGGACTATGTCGCTCCCAGGAGGTGGCCAGTTAAGACCTGTGTGGCCAGGCAACACTGGGATACTTCTCAGTGTCCTAGTGACCCTGGACGCAGCACTTATGCTAACTATCCGGGGTTTTTTATCAATTAGAAACAATTAAATGCCACTATTGTGCATTATATATTATATATTAAAAGTATAAAATGTTCTGTTGTCAAAATGCGAGATTTATAGCAGATGGCCAACAGCCATTTCCTTGCCCTGGTAAATTTTAAGAGAGAAGGAAAAAAGGAGAAAGAGGGAGAAAGGACAAATGAGCTTTGATAGTGACCAGTACAGGCTGCCTAACTCCATGGTCGCCCCTCTGCCTGCCGCCTCGCGCGCTCCAAAAGCGCAGATTGCAGACACCTTCCATGCTCCAGGCGCACGCGGCACGTGCATCCTCAACTTGTCCAAGCGCAGGGCACTCTCTGTGCCGCCTGGCTAATGTTCTGGGTTCCCGAAGGAGCCTTCTCACTTCTCCTAAAGCAATCTTCCCACGTGTAACAGATTTTGCCCAAGAAACACCCCACCCGGTGAGGTGGCACCGGCCTATTGCCCATGACCAATTATTCCCAGGCTCTCCGGCCCCGCGCCCTCTCGCCCCTAGGCACATCCTCCGCGGATCTGAAGCTAAAGGAAGGATTGGGGGGGGGGGGATTTTTTTTTTTTTTGCTTGTTTGTCTCTCTTTTTCATCAAAAGTTGTAAGTAGCCAGTGAGCCGGATCAGCTAGCCTGAGAGAGGCCCCCGCTGGGTCTCTGCAGAGAACGGGAAAACCGGGTGCAAACGCACGAAGCGGGTTGGCCACGGCTGCAGCCCCCAGCAGTGCCGCCCAGCCAAGAGGGGCGAGGGGAGGCCCCGGGCCCAGAGGCCAGGCACGCCTCCTCTTTGCTAGAAATAAAAACCCCGGAGAATGACTGGGCGCATGTGATCCCAGGGCGCCTTCAAGCCGGGAGGCGTGGAGGAAACCCAGGAAGTCGCGGGGGGCTCTAGGGGTGCTGGGGCGTCCGGACGTGGCCGCTGCGAAGGCTGCCATGAGTGTCTCCATTAAAAACCAAAAACAAACAAACAAACAAAAACCCACCGAAGCAAATAAAGGAAAACCTTTCCCCGGATTTTCCTTTACGTAAAGAGTGAACGACTTCCCTTCGCAGGCAAAGCAGACGGAAAAGGCAGGAGCCCAGGAAGTCTTAGTGTTTATAAGCCCAGAAGGGAAGGGGAATAAGAGTTTGTTTGTTTGTTTGTTTGTTTGTTTGTTTGTTTGTTTGTTTGTTTGTTTGTGGCGGCTGGAGGGAGAGGAAATTCAAAACACCTTCTTTCAAATTCCCCCTAACCATCGCTCAGGGCCGTGCGTGCGTGCCGAGCCAGGAAACCCAGCCCCCGCCCGCGGGGACAGCGGATTTTTGTCCCTCTTCCTGAAGCCCCCGAGGCTGCTGAGCGTTCGGAGATAAAGGCCATGTCAGGGCCCTGAGGGGGCCCGGGAGAGAGGGCAGCAGGGCTGCCCCACCGGCCTCTTTCAAGCCCGAATAGGGAGATTCCAGCAGGCAGGCCTCGCCGGGCCCCCAGCACAGCGGCCAAGGGGCCAGGGTCGCTCCAGCCCCAGACCCAACTGAGGCTCGGATTCCCCTTGCCCACCACGGTCTTCCTGCCGTTACACTCTTGGGAGCCAGCTTCCCTAGCATTTTGTTTTTCTTCCGTTTAAAGGTTGAGAGGAGAGGGAGGTTCGAAGCCGGACCTCTCCTGAATCGCCCCAGAAGAGGCACAGCGCGCAACCTTTGGGCGGCTCTGTCTCTCGGGCTCCGAACCTGTGCGGAACCGCTCCAGCCGCGCCTCTGTGGTTCTGTACCGCCTTCTCCCGCTGTCTCATCTCCGATTTTCTACATAGCCGGCTGACCTGGTTGGCGGAGGAGCCCGGTGGGGTGGCCCTAACTTCTGTCTGTCGTTTAGATCTCGGTGGTCGGTGGTCGCAGGACACAAGCCTTTGCCCTGCTCGGTCTTAGACTTCCCGGATGGCGCCTGGGGGCCTCCATCCCGCAGACGCACTCCACTCCAGAGACGCGGTGACTGTGGGGGTTAGAGTCCCCCTGAGAGCAGAGAGGACACGCCGGCCTAGTCGGAGCAGAGGATGGTCTGGGAGCCCCCGGGGCCAGCAGGCAGCCCAAAGGGACCTCGTAACAGCTTACTCTCCCACGCCCGAGCGCACGTCCTCCACTGGCCTGCAGTGGCCCGAGAGGATATAGAGTTTGACAGTGTCCCCTTCTACCTTGGGGGTGCGACCTGGAGTGGCAGAGAAAGGGCAGGATGAGACCTACAGGGCTAAAGGCCAGAAGCGCTTTCCTGTCACCTCTCTCCACCCAGCATCACCCTACCCGCCCGAAGGCTCAGTGTTCTCTGCGACCGGAGTGCATGCGGAGATGTGATAACCGAGCCTGAACTGTGGGCCCGGATGCGGGCTTCCTGATCCTGAAGCGGCGCCAGGAGCCTGCTTTCTCCGTGTGGTTGGCTTGCACACCTTGCACGAGAGTAACGCTGTCTCTGTTCACCTGCCCTGGTGCTAGACATGTGCCTTTACACTCGGGTGCTGTGCACGCGCTTGGGTCTGTGCTGGGTTCCAGGGCCACGCTGGCTGCTTATGAACAGTAATTAATCATCATATTTAGACAAAATTCTGTCGTTTGCCCACACGCTTTTTACAGCCATTCTGGAAAGGTGCTCGCCTTTTGAATGCAGTGTTCACCGGTGTCCATTTACACACAGTCTGTGAGAGAGCCCCAGGCCAAAGACTCCACCCTGTGCTCTGGATGTGTCTCTAAGTGGGTCTAAGTTACCCCAGGCTCCAGAGGACCTCCACTAGGCTTACATGGAGACCCACCAGGCCGGGCATCTCGTTTTGTATTTGGCTGATAGGCACGCTCAGTGGCCGAAGTGTGGGGCTCGAGAATTCAGATCTCCCAGGGAGGCAAAGGCCAGGTCCAGGGTACCAGGCTGCAGGCACAGTCGCTCACCCAACTTGAGTCCTGGCCATTTGGGATCTCCCATCTCTGAAGCAACCCGATGGGGCCAATACATGATGACACGGTTCTGCTCCTCTAGTTGCAAACTCAGGAGTCCTACTTTAACTTGCGCACAGCCTTGTATTAAAGGAACTTGGGTTCACTGAGCGCTGTCTCTAACCCTTAATGACAGGGTGCCCACAACCCCTTTTCACAGACGCAATTACTTAGAAGCTCCAAGGGGTGCAAGCAGCTTCCCCACATCCAACAGCCAGGAAGTGGACATAAACGAAGTTGGAAATCTGGAAGTCGCAGGTAGGGGTGTGTGTGTGTATCTCCCAGCCCACAGCTTGGATGAGCCCAACACAGAGCGCCCGGTTCCTACTGGCACCATGTTCCCCAGCGTGGGGTTTCCACCCTCAAGTTCCCAGCCTCTGAGCTCTTAGCTCCGACTGTACTGGTTGCAAAATCAAAAGCAAATCTTTTCTATAAACACAGAGTCTATTTCTTGATTACATATATTTAACAAGTCAGATTCTACTAGGCAGTCTCTAACAATAACAGCATGCATTTAATATAGTAGATCTACATATATCTATAATATATGCATATAGAATAATTAGGGAGCTCTGGTGACCTAGTGCTAAGGAATTGCTCTGTCAGCTCAAGGGTACCGGTTCAAATCCACCAGCTGCTCCCAGGGAGAAAGTTGAGCAATCTCCTCCCAGGTGGTTTACAACTCTGATAACTCGCTGAAAGGTCAGCTATGGGTCGGTTCTGACTGGACAATACACACCAAAAATATATAATGATTGATCATTTAATACAGAAATTGTGAGACTGGCTCAGGACAGGGCAGGGTTCAGAGCTGCTGTACATAAGGTCGCT